TGTGTTTGCTCCCAGCTCCAAGCTGAGCTTGTGTCGTGGGCCAGGCAGGGAGACATTTCCCCTTCCTGTGAGCCTTCCATCCTCTTCCCAATGCCAGGAGCTCAGCGTGGAGCCTGTGCAACACAGCTAGGGAGAGGAACAGCTGCGAGCGGAGCCCCATAAAAGCCCACTCTCACCCTCCAGCCAAAAATTCCTTGGACCAAACCCCTGCTTGGAGGAGGTGGGGTCTCCTTACCTGTCTGGGTCCCCGTCCCCTCTGGCATGCCTTCCCTGCTGTTTCCCCAGGTGAGGTGGGCTTCCTGGCCGAGGAGCGGCGGATCAACGTGGCGGTGACGCGGGCGCGGCGCCAGGTGGCCGTGGTGTGTGACAGCCACACCGTGGGCAGCCGCCCCTTCCTGCGGCGCCTGCTGGACCACCTGTCCCAGCACGGCCTCGTGCGCTCCGCCTTCGAGTACCTGGATGACCTCGTGCCCCAAAACTACCCCGGGGAGGGAGGGGCACAGCGCCAGCAGGGCCCCAAAGCGCCGGGCCCCAAAGCGCGGCCGGCTCCGGCTGGGAAGCTCAAGGCGGCGGCAGCCGGAGCGGGGAGCCAGAAACCGGGAGCACGGAGCTCCCCGAGCGCTGCCGCAGCTGGGAGGGACGCCTCAGGGTCAAAGGAGGGTGGGGACAGGTTCAGGGCCATGCTGGTGGCCTTCCTGGCGAGCAGCGAGGCGCAGCTGGATTTCCCGACATCCCTGAATTCCCACGAGAGGATGCTGGTCCACGTGCTGGCAGAGGAGTACGGGCTGCAGCACCTGAGCTCCGGGGAGGGCCAGGACAGGTACATCAGCGTCCGCAAGAGACTCCCCAAGCAGCCCCCGCTGCCCTCTCAGCCCCTTCCTGAGCCCCTTCCTGAGCCCCTTCCCGAGCCTCAGCATCCCCACGGGAACATCCCTGACCCTGCGGAGCCGGGGGAAAGCGGCGAGGGCTCGGGGAAAGTGGACCTGAAATCCCTGCACCTGGAGAGAGTCCAGAGGGAGAAAGCCAGGCGGGAGGAGGCAGCCAGGAAGGTGCAGGAGCCCAAGAGTGGCAAAAGGAAAAAGGAGAAGAGTGAAGCCAAAGGTGGGTGAAGCTTTTTGTAACCAGCACAATTAGTGCTCTTCCTTGAATGGATCTTAATCCTGGTGGGTTTGTTCCAGACTTGGGGATTTGGGTGTGGAACATGTGGCTCTTGGAAAGCTACAGGGAGGTGGGAACTGGCTGCAGCATCCAGGCAGAGGGTTTTGGATACCTGGAGGCACATTCTGTAAGTGAGAGGAAAAACACTGGAGACCCTTTCCCAGGAGAGTCTCAGGAATCACGTGGGAGGCTCCCAAGAGTGGGGAGAGGAGCTGAGGGGAGTACCTGGCCCACACGGAAGGATGTAAAGGCAGAGGCTGCCCTGTGGCTGCAGGAGGGTGGGTTTGTTCCCAGGCCCCAACCCAGGTGTGTGCTCACCTTTCCCAGGAAAACCGGCCATCGGGAGCGCGGCCGGAGAGGATTTCGACGCTCTGATCTCCGCTGCCATGGAAGCTGACAGGACCTGTGGCTTCCCCCGCTGCAAGGCCTCTGTCACCACCCTGGGCCAGCTCTGCCACCACTGCCAGCGGCTCTTCTGCCTCAGCCACCACATCCCCGAGGTAAGGAGGGGCAGGACAGGCTCAGCCTGGGAATTTTCCCTGTGGAGCTCCCCCGGCAGCGTTTCCTTGCAGGGAGTTTGAGCGGAGCCCTCCCTGTCAGAGCCTGTGCTGAGCTCAGGTGCACGGGGCTGGCAGGTGCTGACACCTGGGCTCTGCTCACCTCTTCCTGAGGGCTTTTCTGTTTTCCTCCCATTTTGTGCCCTTCTTTACCATTTTCTGGCACTTACACTCTGGGGCCCTGTGAATAAAGTGAGGCAGAGAGCAGAAATGGGGAAGCACAAGTTTCAGGCTGAAGTGAAGCTGGACTCATTTCCCAGCTCTTTGCACGTTCCCTCTGCATTCTGAGGATGATCCCAGCCCTTTGCAGATTGTCTCTGCATCCTGGGGACAGGTCAGGCACAGTGCAGTGCTGCCTGGCCAGCAATTCAGAATTCCCTGTGTCCTTGTTCCTCACCCTGTGGAACCCCTGGGAGCTCAGCAGCCCTATAAATCCTTGGCAAGCTTTTCCCTCTGTCAAGAGCTATCTGTTTCCATGGCAAGGAATAGTTGTATTTATGGTCACTCACATCCAGGGGGATGGAGATTTATTCCGTGAAGAATGGCCTCTCCCTGAATTGTGTGTCCTCACCCTGTGGAACCCCTGGGAGCTCAGCAGCCCTATAAATCCTTGGCAAGCTTTTCCCTCTGTCAAGAGCTATCTGTTTCCATGGCAAGGAATAGTTGTATTTATGGTCACTCACATCCCGGGGGATGGAGATTTATTCCCTGAAGAATGGCCTCTCCCTGCTGAATTGTAACAAAGCTGCAACAATTGTGGGGATTCAAATCCATGTCAGTCCCAGGAAGGGCTGTCACAGCTCTGAGGGAACAGGCTGGGACCTCACTCCATGGAAACATAAATGACTTTGGGATGGGCCAAGAAAAGGGATCGGATTTTAGGATCTCACCTGAGAGGGATAATTCCAGTGTTGGACTTAGCTCATTAAAGCATCAGATTGATGGCTAAAAAACGTCTCCCATTCCCCAAAACTCCTTTCCCAGTTCACTAGAAATGAGGTGGAAGGAGCCACTTGAACCATCCCAAAGGATGGTATTCAGAGCCCAGGACCTGGATCTTTATATTTCATTCTGTGTGAGAGGAGCTATAAAAAATGATTTAACAAAACACAAAATAATAAATATGAATTATTAATTTTAAACAATAAGTATAAGAATAAATCTATAAAAATATAGGATCAAAATATAAAATGAAACTAAATAAAAATAAAACGAAAATAAATAGAATAGTAAACAATGATAACAATGAATTTAAATTATAAAAATATGTAAGTATATAAATTAATATAATATCACAATAATATATAAGGTAATGATAATAATGGCTGTAAATGATGGGAGGTGATTTTAGGGGGATGCAAAGCAGGACAAAAAAGAATTCCAGGCTCAAGCCCCTGGCTCCCACGTGGCTGATCCGTGCCCCCGTGCCCGTTCTCTCCGCAGGTCCATGGCTGTGGGGAGAAGGCCAAGGCGCAGGCACGGCAGCGGATCAGCCGGGAAGGGATCCTGTACCCCGGGAGCGGCTCCAAGGACAAATCCCTGGATCCCGCCAGGCGAGCCCACCTCCAGCGGCGCCTGGACCAGAAGCTCAGTGAGCTGACGAGCCAGAGGAAGGGCAAAAAGAAAGACAAGGAGAAATGAGGGACCCGAATCCTGCTTTTTTAACCTCAAAGCCACAGCTCAGCCCCACCAGGGCAAAGCTGCTGTGCTGGGCCTGTGTGGAATAGGGGGCTCCATGGTGGAATAGGGGGCTCCATTGTGGGGGGAAAACCTGGAGCTGGGAGCCTTCCTGAGGTGCAGGGCCGAGGCAGGGGAGGGAGAGCTGCTGCATTGTCCTGGTTATCCGTATGGACACGGTGATGGATGCACTCAGGGGCCAGAGCACGCTGGTAAAACGGGCATTAAACACCCAAAGCTGTCACTGTCACATCGGTCCCCGCGGCAGCACATGATGGATGCCCGGGAACAGGGACGTGGGAGGCACGGAAAACCCTGGGTGACCCTGTGCTCCAGGGAGGATGGCTGAGGAAACGGATGTGTCCCAGCCCAGCGATCCCCTGGCTCTGCTCAGAGCTGGAGGGACCCAGCCTGAGCACACTGCAGCCATTCCCTCCCCACCGGGGCCAGGGGCTCAGCCCTGCTCCAGGTGTGCCTGGGGATGGGAATGGAGATGGGGAAAGGGAGGCCTCCAGCCCAAACGGTGCTGGCACCACGAGGAGCTGCTCCAGCACATGGAACCATTTCCCTGGGAGAGCCTTCCTGTGCCACTGGGAGGTCTCTCCCTCCTTACTGCTGCCTGTCCCTTCCCAGATCTGTCCTGCCCTTCCCACAGAGCTCCTTGGAGGCTGATTCCCACTGGGAAAGCCCACACTGACAGCAACCAGGTGAGCTTTGCAGGTGGTAGGGATCCTGGTGTCCATCCTGGACATTTTCCTAATACTTCACACAGGGTCCATCTATCCCACCCCCAAAATAGCTCCAGCAGCATTTTTTTGTCCCCAGGATAAAGGAGAAGTTGCAAAGGTGCCTCCAAATAGGAATGGCTGGAGAGGAGCACTTTAAAAATGCCTAACCCACATATTCCTCATTCTTTTTGGGGCTAAACATCACAGATTCCAGCACCTGTGGAAGTCACTCACCTCATCCCAAGTAAAGCTCAGCAGATGGCAGGAGCTGCCAGACAGCCAAGGATTTCTGTGTCCATCTCTTCCCAAATACTTGGCTGGGATAGCTAATAAGCAAATTTTCCCCCAAACCTTGTGGGCTGTGAGTACTGGCTGTGAACAACTTCCCACAAAAACTTCCTCATCCTTCAGAAAATCTCATCCTTCAAACCCCTCCATCCTCGGCTCGTGCCTTGGTGCTGTGCATCACCCATGGAGGGATGGCACTGGCTCCCCTGGCAGCAGGTGGGACAGGGAGAAGTGGGGAGGAGCCAGAGCAGAGGGGGATGATGGAACAGGGACATCACAGCCGTGTCCCTAAGGGAAGGTCAGGCAGCACAGATGGGAAGGCAAAAGTGCCACCAGCTCAGGGGATAACTCACCTTGGAGTTACTTTTTAGTCAGGGAAAAACAGATAAATGGATCATTCACAGCTTTTTCCCTGCTCAGATCATTCAAGCAGCCACATCCCAGCCCATGCTCATCCCATGGTGCCAATTCCACGGCACAGAGTCCCAGACACCCCCAGATTTCCCAGCCTGGCTTCCCACCAGCATCCTGCAGGGCCACATCCCAGCCCATGCTCATCCCATGGTGCCAATTCCATGGCACAGAGTCCCAGCCTGGCTTCTCACCAGCATCCTGCAGACAGGGAAAAGCCAAGGCTCCAGGCAAGGAGGGATGTGGCCCCAGTGCATCCTCTGCTCTCCAGCCTGTGCCATGAGGGGCTCCATCACCCTCCACAAACCAGAGTGGGAATTAGCTCCCAAAAAATCCCAAGCCTGGCTTGGGCCAGAGCCCAGCAGCAGACAGGATCCACACAGGCTTTTCCTCTGCCTTCCTTCTGAAACAGGAGTTGGGCTTAAAAATTATAAAATGAGGGACTTTTCTCACCTGCCTTGGGCCACAAGGCTAAAATGTTCCTCTCTATGCCTGAATTCTGGATAAAATGAGTTCTAGGGTAAGTCACAGCCCAAGTCCAGGATTTGGGGCTGGAAAAAACAATCCCCAGTTGTGAGAGTTGTGTTAAGTAGCAGGAATTTGGAGTGCTGTGCTGAGCACTCTGAGGGAGAATTTGGGTTGGAAAAGTGACTGGGGTGGGAAAAGCTGCCCCTGGCCCTACTGGCCCTTTGGGGGATGATTCCCAGCATGGATCTGACCTCAAACCCAAGAAGTTGGAAACCAAGTGGTTGGAAACCAATCCCAGGCAGTGGAGATGGGCAGGGATTCACTGTGTGGGGGAACAGATGGGAGGAGAAGCCGTATGTAACAATTGATTTTCTGCTCTTATTGCTCCCTTTTTCCATTCTCACTGGAAACATTCCAACCCTGGCACAGCGCACCAAAGTCACTGCAAAAGATCCCCTCAGGATCACCACCCACGCCAGGCTGGCTTTTGTCACCGCCCTCACGATTCCCACCCAAAATCCACCTTCCAAAGGAATCCCCCCCTCTCCCTCTCTCAGAGTCCCCGTCTGAGGATTCCGCGGATTTCGAGGCCGTTGGGAGCACGCGGAACGCTCGGGAGCCGCGGTTTGGGGGCGTTCCTGCCGCTTTTGGTCCATTTGGCTCCTTCCCGGCAGCTCTGGCCCCGCGCGTGCGGGGGTGACCCGGAACGTGCCCACGGAGCCGCTCTCTCCGTGCTCCGGGTGCTCTGGGCCCCTCGGCAGCTCGGCCTTGTGGGTGTCACCGAGTCCCTGCTGCGGGCCCGCTGTCCCCAGGATGCGGCCTAGTTCCTGCGGAGCGGGTGCCACATGGAGACGGGCTTGCGGAGCGTGGCCAGCATCTGGTTCCAGTGCGTGGTGCCCATGCCGCTGGCCGCCGGCCCGATGAGCACGTGGCCCGTGTTGTCACCGCGCCCGTCCTCGCCGCTCTCGGCCACCGTCACGCGCAGGGACAGCTCCTGGCGGGCGCGGGGCTGTCACCACACACACACACACCCAGCCAGACGCGTGTCCCTGTGCCCTCTCCATGGGATGTGCACCCACGAGGCCAGCTCATCCGTGCATCATCACCCAGCCCGCCATACCCCACGTACACACGGCCCTCTGTGCCCCCGCCCTGCTCAAACCCACCCCCTGTCCTTGAAGGCCCCCCAAATCCCTAAATACCCACCCACCACACTTACACATCCTCCTCTTTTTACCCCACATCCCCCAAACCCATCTTAGCCCTGTCCACAGACCTGTGCACCCTGCTGTATCCCAACCCACACATCCATATCCTCCCCAAGAGTTCCACCCCACACGCATCCCCCCTCCAGCAGCCATTTGCACACATCCACACCTCTCCAAACAGCCCCCACACATCCACATACCCCACAGCAACGCCCACACATCCATCCCAAACCAGACCCACCCACAGCTCCCAGGATCACCCCCCAGAACCCCACACCCCCAGGTTCTCCCCACTAGTGGGTTTGGGGAGCCTGAGGAGCACTGGGATGTGCCCCCCTCCCCAGACCCCCGGGCTGCGCCAGACCTGGAGCACGATGGCGGGCACGGAGAAGATCATGGCCTCGTTGAACACGGGGTTGGTGTCTCCCCTCTTCACCGCTGTCTTCTTCTTGCTGATCTTCCTCCCGTCCTGCAGCAGGTACACCTTGACGAAGGGATCTGCTCGGAGGGCAGTAGAGGGATCAGTCCCACGTGTCCCCAGCGGTGTGGAGAAAATGGGGGGACCCTTTCTGACGGCCCTTCCCAGCAGGTCTGTCCTCACGGGGAGCCACTCCCCGTGTAGCAAATGGGATAAATCAGGACAAACCCCACCTTGCAGCCCCCCTCACCTGCAGTCACCTTCCCATTGCTCCACACCAGGTTCTTGGCTTTGACCACCACCACCGTGAGCCGCTCGGCCGTGGGCAGGTAACTCAGGGAGAGCAGGATCTCCCCCACCGTGTCCACCGCCTGCGGGACACACGACAGTCAGCACACAACGTCCCAAAACCCAGCTGGGAGACGGGACGCTCCTGGCTCACCTTGTTGGTGTCCTGCAGGTAGAGCCAGGCGTTGAAGGGGCGCGTGGCCAGGTCCAGGTCGGAGAGCTTGAGCTCGGCCACGCCGGTGCTGACGCTGCGCTCGTCCTCGTCCACGCCGAAGACGGAGAAGCGCAGGCTGTTCTCCTCCAGCGCCGCCGGATCCAGCGGCACCGAGAAGCGCTCGTCGAAGGCCACGGAGTAGGAGCTCCTCTGGATCTGCCGTGGGAAGGGGGGATAGCCCTGCCACCCCTGGAGCTGCATCCCTGCTCTGCCCCATCTCGTGGGGATTGCAGGGAGGCATCCCCAGGGCACGCCCCATCCATTTGGGATGATTTATTCCCAACCTGACTGCAGCAACTGCTCGGCCATTGGGGTGAAAGTCAGGGCTGTGACCTGCCCCAGTGCCTGTTAATTCTGTTAATTAGAGAATCAGTGTTGGCCCAGTGCTCCCAGATATATCCCAAGCCCCTGGGAGTGCGGATGCACATCCAGCTTGGCCATATCACACAACAGGATTTGTGGCTACAAGGTGTAACCCCCAGCCCTTCTCCAAGCAGAACCAATTCCTGAATGTGCCCAGTGGGAATGGAGCTGTTTGGCTGACCTTGTCCCTGTGTCAGGTCATTCCCTGGGAGCAGAGGCAGCAGCAGCTCCCATGGCTCATCCTGATTTGGGTGCTGATCCCAAAGAACTGGCTGAGAGGAAATGCTCTGAAGTCATGGATTTAGGGATTTTTCCCCCCTACTCCAGCCCTGTTTCAGCACCCAAGATGTCACAGGCAAACCAGGGGTTTGTCCCATGGGATGGAAAGCTGTAGCCCTGGATAGCATTGGAGCAAAGTGGAACCACCAGCTCCCCAAAGCCACCCAAATCTGGGTGCAGTATGGACCTCTCTGTGGGGCTCTGTCACCCCAAAAGCCCCCCAGGAGAGGGTTCATCTCCTCCAAGGACTCTCTCCTGTCTCAGTCTGCTCCTAGCCCTGCTCCATCCCTGGGATAAAGGACACAAAAGCAGCACCTGCCATTCCTGCCTTCTTAGTCCATGCTCTCCCACTGGATACCACCAACCTCCAGAGTTCCCAGGGGAATGAAGTTCCTCTGTGTGAAGAGCAGATTTTAAAGCCCTACAGATTTTACAGACTGTCTGTCTGCAGCCCACGCTGCATTTTGGGAGCTCTGGATCAAGTACAACCAAACAGGAGCTGCTATTTAAAAACCCTCCAGAAGCACTGGGAAAAAAAGCAGCTGGGCCTTTATCCATGGCCTTGGGGCAGCCGAGGAGGTAAATTGTGCTGGTGAATTATAAATAATGACACTAAATAATAAATATCTCCAGAGCATAAATAAAGAACCAGAGATTTGGATGGAAAAATGGTCTAAAAGGGCACTGTGGAAATATTTTGGAGGCAGCAGCCAGTTTGTGGGGATGGAGGCACCTCCATCCCAGTGGGATGCAAATGGGGTGCAAATTCCCACTCCTTGCTGGCATATTCTGATTAAACCAAACTGACTCTGCAATAGAGGAGCTGCTAGAAGAAAACTGAGGCTCCTGCTTTCCAAAAGCAGCTTTTGAGGCACTTAAAAAGGGAGGTTTTGCACCAGATCCAACCCTGATTGTGGCTGTCAGTGCTGCCACATGGATTTTCCACTGCTGTGTCCTTTGTGAGGAGGGAAAAGCGTTGGGGCTGCTGTGGGGACTCAGGGGACTGTGGGGCATGGGAAGACACCAGCAGCACCTGCCCAAATTGCCACTGCCACCCAAATCCCACCCCAGGCCCCTTCCTCCACATGCCACAGCACCCTTTGCCCAGCAGGGTCAGCCAAGCAGGAAAACTTGCCACCAGCCACACGCGGAGATGACAAAGTCAGCCCAAATCCCAGCCAAAGGGAGACATTCCTGCCTCTGCCAAATTTCTGATGTGCAAACCCTCAAAGTCCTGTGCCAATCCAGAGCTCTCTGCTCCCAAATCCCATCACTGCTGTGGGGAGCTGAGACCCACCCCAAAACCTCATATCAACCACATCCAGCCTGGAATTTCATGCACCCAAACCCCACGACTGCCTTGGGGAGCTGATATCCCCCAGATCCTGTGCCAGCCATTCCTGATCCGGGCATGCCTGTGGCTCCCTGCTCCCAAACCCCACAGCTGCCTTGGGGAGCTGATATCCCCCAGATCCTGTGCCAGCCATTCCTGATCCGGGCATGCCTGTGGCTCCCTGCTCCCAAACCCCACAGCTGCCTTGGGGAGCTGATATCCCCCAGATCCTGTGCCAGCCATTCCTGATCCGGGCATGCCTGTGGCTCCCTGCTCCCAAACCCCACCACTTCCTTGGGGAATGAGGCCAAGGGACGCTGCTGCCCAAAACCCCCGGACAACCCAGGTGTGCACAGGGCTCTGGGGGGCTCTGGCTGGGGAGGGGGGGCTCACCCGGGAGATGCCGACGATCTGCTCGGCCGGGAGGAGGCTGATCCGCATGAAGCAGGACTCGAAGCGCGCGTCCTCCTTCTCCAGCAGGTCCTTGCCCTGCAGCAGCATGACGTGCAGGGCGGCCGCCCTCCCGTCGTACTCCATGGACACCTCCACCTGCCCCACCGTGAAATCCTGCCCGAAGTTGTTCCCGATGGACGAGATGGAGTTGAGGGAGTCGGCCGAGATGGATTTCCGCAGGGGGCCGTAGTGGGCCAGGCCCAGGTCTCTGCCCATCAGCTCCAGGCTGCCCAGCTCCTGGATGCTCTCCAAGGTGTCCTCTGCCCTCAGGCTGCTCTTTCGGGATGAAGAGCTCCGGCCTGGTGCCCGCTGCGAGCCCGGGGCCAGCCCTCGCTGCCAGGGAAAGGAGAGCAGGCGCTGCCATCCATCCCATTCCACCCCATCCCTCCGTGCCGAGCCGGACAGCTGGGCTTCTCCGGCGCCTCCTTGGATACATCCCGGCCCCTGCCTGGCCTCAAGCTGCCGCGGCAGCGAGCCCAGAGCTTCCCGCAGCTCCCAGCTCCAGCGATCCCCCCAAAAAGCTCCAGCAGCACCAGGTTGCTGCCTGTGGCTGTTCCACCCCGCGAGGGGATCCAGGAGACATTCCCACCCCTCCAGCATCCCGCAAAGGGAAGGAGACAGACGCGGCTTCCCCCCTTACCTTGTTCCTGATGTCCGGGCACGCCGCTCCGTACTTCTGCTCCAGGTACCGGTAGTCATAGTTCGGGAAGGGGGAAGGGGCCGGGTAGCTCCCGGAGCGCCAGAGCTTCCACAGGTTGATGGCTGCGATTCCCAGCAGCGCCAAGGCGCCGGCGGCGTAGAGCCCGATCTCCCACCGCGGCGGGCTGGAGGCCACTGCAGGGGACAGGGGGCTCCGTGAGCTGGTGACAGCCCCGGGAAGGAGCTGGTGACAGCCCCGGGAAGGAGCCTTCAGCCTCGGCTCGGGAACTCGGCTCCAAGCTCCGAGGATGGGATGGGCCGGGCAGCGGGCAAACCGCAGCTCCCACCCGGCTGGCTGCAAAGGCGTCGGGCAGAGGCTCTGCCAGCCAGAAAACGACAGCCCCGGCTCGGCTTTCCCGGGACACGAAGTTCTCCCGTGTCCCAGCCCCGCTTCCCAGCGAGTGGCTGTGTCATCCCCCAGGTGCCGGGGGTGCCTTTGCTCTGTCCCACTGACAGATGTGCCCAGCGCACATCTGCATCGCCCTCGGCTCGGCTGCTGCCCGGGGATGCCAGGAAAAGCCGGGAGAAGGGAAAAACCAAACGGAAAAGCTGCTGGAAAGCGGCAGAGCCCCGCGGGCGCCGCCGGAGCGGGCGGGGAGGGAGCGGCGGGCTCGGCTGCGAGCGGATCGTGCTGCATTGCAGAGCCTCCCTCCATCGCCGCCGCGCCGAACCGGCACCGAGCGCCCCGAGCCGCACGGAGAAGGGGAGAAGAGAGGATTCCTCATCCCGGAGCGCTGCCGCCGAGCCCTCCGGCACCGCCACGCCGCAGCGCTCCCTCCTTCGGAGCCGGAAAAAGCCCAAAGCCAGGCTGAACTCCCACATGGCATCCGAGCGCAGGGACAACCTGCTGCTCTCTCCCCAGCCCTCCTCCAGCCGGAACAGCAGGAGGAACTGAGTATTCCCAGCCAAAGCTGGGAATTGGATCCCGGGAGCGGCCCACAGGGGTCTCCGAGGTTAAACATTGGGATGGGACCCGGGTCCTGCTTCATCCAAACCCCCAAAGGGCTCCGCTCTATCCCTGCATCCCGGCCAAGGATGCTGTGGGAAGCAGTTGGAGGCTTCCCGTGCCAGAGCTCCCAGGCTCCTGCTGTGGCGGAGGGGCAAAATTTGGAATGAAAATAAAAATAGCAGAATAGTCTTTTACTGGCTCCTACCTCTGAGGAACTCCGAGTGCAAATCCCAGCTGAACTGGAACCTGCATCCCCCTCATTCCTGCCGGTTTCTGAGGGCTGAGCACTCATGTTGGAAAACTTGGAGGTTTTAAGGGTTTTACCCTCGCTTTAGGGAAAAATATCTAGCTGGCACACGGAGCAGAGGGTTCTCCCCATGGAAAGCAGCGAGGACCAGCCAACCCTTCCCCAAAACAACCTCGGTGTGAGCGCCAGCAGCTCTGCCCCAAACCCTTCCCGGCTCCCTGGGGAGGACTCACCACTGAAGCGGGATCTGCTCACGTGCCCAGCGTCCATGGCAAACGCTCCCTGCGAGGGGACAGCCTGGAATGCGCGAGACACAGCGTTAGCACGAAGGGGGAGAAGCCAAAAACCGAACGCCTTGTGATTTTCCAGCAGGGACGCTCCATCACTTCTCCCCCTCCATCGCTCCCGGCCTTGGCTCCCCTCGCAGGCGCCGAGCAAACGCGCTGAAGCCTCTCAGCCACCGGCAGGAGCTGAAGGAGGGACGGGAGCCCTCGGGAAGGGGCAGAGCCGCTCCATTGACCACGGCATCCTTTAAACAGGCCGCATTCCCAACCTCTCTGTGTGCGGAATCCCCCCTCCAGGAGCCCTCAAAGCCCTCTGCTGCTTTTCCAGCTGAAATCTTCCTTTGCCTCCTGCAGTTTCCCAGCCTCTCCCGAGGCTTTGCCCTGGGCCCAGCCGAGGAGGGGCAGCCCCATTCTCCCATTTTGGGGTCACTGTGGGGTTTAGGGGATGTTCTTCCCCAGGAATCAGCTCCTGCAGTAGGAAAGCCCTGTTGCCTTCCCCCTCAAAAGAGGTTTTTCCCAGTCAAGTCGAAAGGAAGCTGCTCTCCCAGGCAGATCCCAGCACAGGCACCATGGATGCTGAGGGGGATTTATCCGAGCCAGCTACTCCTGCTATGAAAAGGGGAGTTTGGGATCCCCAAAAACACCCACAAGCAAATCCGACGGGAACTGACCAGCACCCCCTCTTCCCTGGCATCCATGCCGGGGAATCACAGACCATGGAGAGCTGGTGAGAAGCCCCTGGGGACACAACCTCAGCACTGCACCCAAACCCCCCCACACCTCCCTGAGAGCCCCCCAGCCCTTCTCCAGAATTCCCAAAGCCCGCTCAGAGCTGGACTGGCCTCAGCCAGAGGGTTCTGCAATGTTTGGGCCCCACCTTCCAGCTCCCTTGGGTGCTCTCAGGCACTGGGTGGGGGTGATCAACTCCCCCCAAAACCATCCAGGCTTGCATTTTAACAGGCAAAAGTGGGAATTTCATGGCATGGAATATCAGCTGTGCTGGCCTGGCCCCCTCTGCATGGGCACGTGGCCCATCCTTGGGATGGAGATGGAGGAAGGGGAGCCCTGAATGTACCCCAAAGTGACAGGGATGCTGGGATGGGGCTGGGACATGCCCAGGTCCTCCCCACCTCCCCCCTCTGGCACAAATCTCCTGTGCAATGGATAAAACGTCCTGCCCTGGCTGGGAACGTGCTGAGCTCATGCCATGGGCTCAGCTCAGCTCAAGGCCCACTTTGCTGTTGAGTGCTGAAAACTGACATCTTAACAGAGCAACATGATGGAAATTTAGCCTAAACTGCCTCTTTTTCTGCCCCAAAAAGCCCCTGTGCCCAAGCAAGGTGCTCTGATCCTGTCCCTGATTCCCAGTTATTTTTAATATGAGAACTGCAAAGTTTTCAGGACTGACTTTCCCTGCAGGAGGACAAACATCCCCTTTAAACCCCCTCAATCTCTTCCCAATTTCTTCTAGAAATAAAAAGGAATTTCTAGTTTTTCTTTCCTTTCAGAGCTTCTCTCCCCAAAACCTCCCTCTCTAATGAGCTCTAAGCAGCAAGTTAAGCAGATTTCCAAGGCATCACCTGGAAAGAGACTGCAGTGCTCAGCACTGGGATGAAACCCAGAGGTATTTTCCTATTAGGAAAACAGCATCAATCACTCCTGAGCGAGGAAACGGGGGTGGAAGTGCTCGGGGAAGGATTTATGGCTTTTTTTTGTTAACTGAGCTCTTCCCTGGAGCGTTGCACCGAGCTGCTCTGACATCCCCCTGACCTGCTGCTCAAATCCCTGGGAAATCAAGCCTGAGGCATTGGGAAGGGAAGGGGCACCGCTCTCCTGCTGCTGCCAGCACAGGGATTGATGGGTTTTTCACCTCCAGACCTCAAGACAGGCTGCAGAGCCCTGGTTTGGAGTGCAGAGCCCCAGAAAGGGGTGCAGAGTCCCAGCTTTGGGGTGCAGAGCCCTCTCCATCCATCCCAACACCCCAGAGCCAGGGCAGCTTCATTTTCCCTGGGAGCTGCTGCAGAGCTCAGGTCCCTTTTCCTGCTTGGAGGGACAATGAAACAGCTCAACGAGGGAGAGAAAAACAGCATCAAAGCCACCTGTCCCCCCGGAAAAGGGGGTCCCCCAGTACTCATGGGGTTGTCACCTCGCTGCTGCCAAGGCCACAGGCACAGAAACCCCAACTGCTGTTCCCAAAGCGCCTGGAGCAGCCTGGCTGTGACCCCCCGAGCACGCTGCAGTCCCCAAACGTCCCAGCCCAGGTTCCAGCGATCTCCCTGCTCATCCTGCCTCCCTGTCCTGCCCCAGGGCTGAGCTCAGCTCCGCGCTGGTGCCGCTCCTGCAGCGCTGCTCTGCCAGCCCCTTCCAGCCCTGCCCGCCCTCCATCCGCAGGGCACACAACCGGGATGGAGTTTGCTCCTGGCACCGATAAAGACGCATCCCAAACTTGCCAGAACAGAAGGATTTGGGCTCTGCTCTCACCCATCGCCTCCCCAGCCCCCCCCACAGGGGACACATCCCACCCAAACCGGCGCCCCCCGCGCTTTACCTGCACAGGTACAAATCCTCAGGGATCTGCGGGGACCCCCGGGCGGCCCCGGCATCCGCCGAGCTCTGTCCGCTCCCACGGGGCAGGGGGGACCCTGCGACCCCCGGGGCCCGCCCGGCCGGCGGTGGGGACCGGGCAGAGCCCCCCGCGCCGCCCGGGGGTCCCCACTCAGCCCCGGGATCCACGGGTCTCCCCAAGCCCGCGATGCTCCCGGCCCCCCGCCGCTGCCCGGGGGTCCCTGCGGGTCCAGAGGGCAGCCCCGGGACCCGGGATGGACCCGGGATGGATCCGGGATGCTTCCCGGCGGTGCGGGACCGGGAGCGGCTCCGCTCCCTCGCCCAGCCCAGCCCGGGGCGGAGCCGCCGCTCACCCGTGCCATGAGCTGGGCGGTCTCTGCGCTCGCCAGACCCTCCCCGGGGCTTGGCCCAGCCCAGCCCGAAGCCCCCGGCACAGCCTGGGCTCTCTCGCTCTGGTTTGCCTGCCAGGCTCCCAGCTTCCCTGAGGAAGTTGCCATAAAAAAACACCAACAAAATTCACCTCAAACCCCTGCAAACGCACCCCAAATCCCAGCCATGAGTGAGGAGGGACGATGCCAGATCCCTCATCCCACACCAGAGACCCTCTGCTGTGTGCTTGGCCATACCAGGCTTCCCCAAATCCCACCTCCCAGGGACTCCCTGGTCCACCCCTCTGCATCTCCAGCTGCTCCTTCCCATGGACTCTGATGAGTGTTTCTCTCCATGGGGTCCCACATCCCCTCCCCTTGTCCCTCAAAGGCTGCAGAGCCCCTTGGGTTCTCTGGATCACCACCCCAAAGCTGAATCCTTGGGTTCTCCCTTGTCCCAAACAGCTTCCAGCTGTGTCCCTCCTGCCATGGGGACACCTAGGGCTGTCCAGCAAGGTCTTGGCTTTGGATCTTCCTAAAAAAACATCAGATCCCTCTCCCTCCACAGCAGAAAGTGGAACCTTTTGGGGTCTGGTCCCAAAAGCCCCTTGGACAGTTTGGCTCCATGCCCACCACACCACAACCACTGGAAGACTGTGCCTTCACACCCTCCTGTGGGATCTTCCCTTTCCCTGCCCTCACACCCATGGTTTCAGCCACCTCACCTTCATGTCAGGAGACTTCCAGGGCAGCAAGGAGCATTTCAGACAACAGGAGAAACACTTTCCTTGGATAAAATGGAATAATTATGATTTTGGGGGGAAAAAAACCACCCACACAACCTGAGAAAAGGTGGGGCCAGAGGCCATGGAGCATTGTGACATTCCAGAGGACCTGTAATTCCCAGGAACACCCACATCCAGCCACGGGGCCAGCTCAGTGCTGGCTGCAGGCTCCCTGCTCTGGAAAGACCCAGGGAGGGCAGCAGTGGGAGATGCTCCCATGATTTCCTGGTAGAAGTTCATTTTCAGGGAGAAAACACAAGTTTTGTACAAAAAAAATGCTGCCTGGGTGGGAGAGCAGCCAAGGCTCCTTTCCATGAGGCTTCCTGGCTCTTCCTCTGGGTACAGCTGGAAAAGAGCAGGCCATGGTCCTTGCCCACTTCCCAAAGCTCCTCTGCATCCCCAGGGATGTGGCAGGATGTCCCTCTACAGGACAGCTCAGGACCCAGCACCCTCCTGCTCACCACTCCAGACTCTGGGCAAAAGTGACCCCTAAGGCTGCTTCAGATGGGATTGGATCAGGCTGAGGTCTGGAAATTCCCAAGGTGGGCACCTGGATTCATCCAGCCTCACACAGACACCAACTCACCTATTAAAAACTCCTCCTTTTTAAAGCCAACACTTACCTTTGGCCAAGCTCTCCATGAAACTGGTGTGACCACAGGTGGGAGACCTGCTCCAGGTGAGCTGGACACTCCTGTGTGTGGAAGCAGGAGCTGGCCACCTCTGCCCTCTCACAGCATCCCATTTTAGCCACACCAAACGTTATTCCCATGAGGAATCTTGGCTTCCTTCCACCTCCTCCCTAGGAGGCTGCTTTGAGCACTGCTCCCAGACAATCACAAAAGGATTCCTAAAGCCAGGTGGGTATGCAATGACAAAAGCCCACCTTTTTCCCTGAAAACTTGGACACGGCCCAAGCTCCCCCTCAGCCCCCTGGCTCTGTGTGTGAGGTGACAAGAGAGGACTCACAGGCACACATTGCCCTGAAGGACACACTAGCACACAGAACTACATGGACAGGATCCAGACTGTCCCTGGGATCCCTTGGATGCAGACAGACGAGTCAGTGGTTCGCGTATGAGGTCAAAGCTCCCCGATCTTTCTGGACATTCCTCACCAGGTGCTGCCAGCGCAGGTAAGTGGCCCTTTGGGAGGGGGTGCAGTGACAAGTCTCCCTGTGTCACCTGGCCACCTCCCCAACTGGGGATTCCCAACTTCCCACCGCCCACTTTTTATAGGTGGAAAGCATTTGACCAACTAAAGCTGGGAGAAATGCAGATAGATGTTGGCTGTCATTCCCGTACGAGACAAAACCAGATTAAAAACCCACATTGTGCTGGGCAGCAGCTCTGCAAGCCCCTGCCACTTCAGAAGTTTGGGGTTGCACTCGGAATTGTACTGTGGTGTTTGTGTCATTTTCTTCTGGATAAACACTTCCCTGAAACACGGCCAGATTGGATTAAGCAGTGACAGGGTGACGTCAATGCCCGGGACAGCGACGCGAGGGCTCGGAGCAGAGGGTACAGAATCCATGTGGATTAGTGGAGCTCTCACATTTTGGAATAATGACCTGGGGAAACAAAGCTGCCCAGGCTTCCAATTCCCTCTCCAGGATGCTGAGTCACCAGCAGAAACAGTGCCTGGCTCAGGATGCTCCCTGGCTGTGCTGTGCCAGGGACACGCTTGGCCTGGGCTTGCTGGTGGCAGGGGGACAGGGATGGGGGTGTGACACTGCAGGGATCAGCTCACTCTGGAGCTATCCTGGAGGGAATAGGGCAGTGACAAAGGGTGGCAGAGCCTGACGTGCCCCTGTCAGACCCCAAAACAAACCCCCAGCAGTGAGGACACAAACCCAGCAGAGGATAAAGCAAAGAACTCCAGACTGACGGGACACTCCCGGTTTCTGCTTGTGACACGTTTTACTCCGCAGAGCGAAGGCAGGTTGACCTTTCCCACTTCACCTTCCCTTACATTTAAGAGATGACCGAGACTAAAAGAGAAATTAAAAATAAGAGCTAAGGAGAAGCTGTCAGTCTCCCCAGAGCTGGGACACACCACCCACGTGCCGCAGGCCGCTCCAGGATGTTGGAAGTCAGAGGGATGCCCCGCGGAGGGGCTGGAACAGCAGCGCAGCGTGGTACATCCTGTGCAAGGAACGCAGCTTGGCCACACGTCCCCGGGTGCCCGCGGTCACCTCGCCGAACGCTTCACCCAATCCTCCTCCACAGCCCCAGGTAGTTCCAGCAGGAAGAGCAGAATTCATTTCCCGTGCCTGGTCTCTGTTCACTCCAGAACAAGTGTTGCTAATGCCCAAACGCCCCACGGAGCTCTGGGTTCCCTGGGAGCGGAGCAGCAGATCCCTGTGTGCCGTGCTCTGAGCCCCATCTCCACACCTGGTTCCCAGGAAGACACACAGCACCTGTGCGGGGTCAGCACTGACCTCCCTCCACACAGGCTTCCTCTGGCCCTGCCCTGGTGACACAAGGAGAGAGGGGGGCTGTGTCAGTGCCATCCTCCCCGCGAGGATTCCCACACGCTGGAACGCTAACAAGGACAATGAGGAGTTAGGTAGGATAAGGTTGGGACCGTGCACCAGGCCCGCTCGGGCACCATGAGTTCCTGTCAGCCCCGTGTCCGTGCTCAGAGCTTCCTCTCCCGGAGCTTGCTCCCGTTGGGCTCATCCAGCAGGGCTGAGTGTCCATCCCCGTTGCTCAGGCATTTGTCCCTGTCGTGCCTGTGCTCCTGCTTCTGCCGCCGGATCTCCTTGTACCGCAGGGTGATGTCCCTGCAACACACACGGCACACAGCTCCAGCCTGCAGGAGGAACGGCACGGGAACCCCTCTGCGCGAGCTTCCTGGGGATAACAACTCACTGGAGCCTCTGGCTGGGCATTTCTGCAATTGCTGATGGCACTGATTCACTGGCAGTTTGTGCTTCTGCCTGGTGTCCTGGCTCTTCCCACCACTGCCAGAGCACAACAGCCAATCCTGCAGGAGAAGCCACTGCTGCCCCCTCCACACAGCACTGCACCTCAAACAACTGTGCAATGCTTTGGGTTAAAAGGGATCCTAAAGCCCATCCCATTCCACCTCCTGTCATGGGTAGGGACACCTTCCACTGTCCCAGGCTGCTCCAAGCCCTGTCCAGCCTGGCCTTGGACACTGCCAGGGATCCAGGGGCAGCCACAGCTTCTCTGGGCACCCTGTGCCAAGGTCTCACTACCCTTATTTTTCCCCAGACCACACCTAACTCTGCTCTCTGTCAGTGCAGAGCCATTCCCCCTTGTCCTGTCCCTCCAGCCCCTGATATGCAGAGTCCGTCTCCAGCTTCCTTGTGGGTCCCTTCCAAAACTGGAAGGCTGCTAATTCCCTAGGCCCTGTGCAGCTGCTTTCCATGATCCAGACAGGAAACTGCCAGGATCAGCCCCAGGGAGCTCCCTGTTTATTTCAGAACTTGCACCCACCCAGGAGAGCCGTGCTCTCTCCCCAGCCAGTCTCAGGGAGCACATTTGAGGACAGGGGTTGAACAAATCCTGCTAAAACCCTGGGCAGCCCCAAATGCAGCCCCACTCACCGGATGAAGAAGCGCCAGGCTGTCCAGGTGAGCACCAGGATAATCCCCAGGATCCAGCACTGGGTGATGTAGAAGGGCAGGGAGAGGGTGAGCGTGTAGGGATCGTACTTGACGACGATCAGGAACTCCGTGGCAGTAATAGCAGCAACCAGCCAGGCCTGCTGGCCCAGCTTCTTGTGGAACTTCCTGCAGGAGAAACACAGACAAAAACATCTCATTGCTGTAAAATTTGGGATGTGGAGAAATCTGCACAAAAAGACAGCTGGGACAGTGATTTCATTCAGCTTGGCACAGTCCTACAAGTCTGGTTCAGATCACACATGCACTAAGGCTCTGCAGGATGACACTTTCACGTCTGTGTTAATTCAGTTTCCTCTCAGAGGCTCTAAAAGCGAGACAAGTTAAACTTCACCACCACACAATGCAGCAAAGTGTCCCCATTGCCAGGTAAATCCACATGAAACCATTCTCTGACCAGCCTGAGATCAGCTGATGTCCAGGGTATGGCTCCAAACAGGAGCTTCTCACACATGGCACCCAGAGCCATATTTGAGACCAAAGTGTAGGTCAAGCTACACCAAACCATCCAAATACACTGGGAAAAAAATACAGAATAAATCAAATGTAGGTGAGTGCTGATCAGAAGGGATGAGTGCATTCCTTCTTAAAAGGTATCCTGCCTGGATCAGCTCGGATGAAAGGGCTGCAGAAACTGCTCCAGGTGGTGACAGATTAAATGGGCAGAGACCAGCCCTAACCCACAGGCAGAGAGATGAAAAGAGA